CGTCCTTTCAGAACAGACAGCACTCCCAGCAGTCTAGATACGGTTTTAAGAAACCAGACAACCAAAAGCTGGGGTTTCGCCCAAGAAACCAATAGGTCAACAGAAAACAAACATTCCATCTGTCGGAGGAAGACTGACGGAATGCTTGGAGAAATGGAGGCAGATAACCTCCGACCAGTAGGTTGTAAATAAAGTCCAGGAAGGACTTCATCTTCAGTTTGCCTCCAGGCCAACAAGAAGCGACATAAGAGAAACTGTATTCAGTTCGTTACAGAAAAATATGTGTATATACGAAGAAATAAAGGATTTATTAGAAAAAAGAGCAATAGAATGTTCCCAAAGGCCAGGAAGGCATGGGTTACTACAGCACATTATTTTTAGTTCCAAAGAAGGATGGAGGTCTTCGTCCAATCTTGAATTAAAGAAATCTAAATGTTCATTTGCATGTTCCTCATTTCAAGATGGAAACTTTCCGATCAATTCGACAAGCTACAAGAAAAGGAGATTGGACAATTTCAATAGACCTGAAGGATGCATACTTTCATTTTCCAATCCATCCACATCCCAGACAGTTCCTTCGGTTCTGTTTCCAAGGAATGCATTACCAGTTCAGAGTAATGCCATTTGGACTAGTCTAGCAATAGCTCCCAGAGTTTTCACAAAGCTGATGGCTGTAATAGGACAGTATTTGAAGTCTCGACAGATTCACATATACATGTATCTGGATGATTGGTTAATCAAGAGCCAACATCGTCAATTGCTAATGCATCAAAGAGAAATATTACTGAACTTGCTTTACAGCTTGGGCCTGTTAGTAAATTGGCAAAAGTCTCAACTGATACCAACTCAGGAATGGACTATTTTTGGGGCGCACTTCAGTTTGACAAGGGGAGTTGTGTACCCATCAGAAGAAAGGTTTCAGAATCTTTCGCAAGAAATTGCACAGTTCCAGAGATCAACATGGGTGCAAGCACACAAGTTTCTCAGGCTTCTGGATTTAATGACAGCATGTATAGATTTAATCCCATTAGCTCGTTTACATATGCGGCCTATCCAGTTTTATTTCCAGTCTTTATGGCAACCACACGAAGACAGTTTGTTTGCCCTGATACCAAGATTTGGTCACTCGTCTAGAATGGTGGACCAACAGAACAAATATATTTTGAAGAGTTCTTCTTTACCAGGAAGAACCAGTAGTTGTGTGGACAGCTGCATCAGAGATAGGTTGGGGAGCCCATATAGACACACTTCAAATTGCAGGGATGTGGAATGTGTCTCAACAAACCCATCATATAAACTGGCTAGAAATGAAAGCTGTTCAGTTGGCCTTGATGCAGTTTTTGCCCCAGATCAGGAACAAGCAAGTCCTCCTCAGGTGCGACAACTCAACAGTTGTCTTGTAAATCAACAAGATCATTTCTACTCTGTCTTCTGACTTGGGAGATTTTTCAGTGGGTAAAGAGTCACAATATTGTCCTCGGTGCAGCCCACATACCGGGAAAGAGAAACATCCTAGCGGACAGTTTATCCAGGGGTCGATTAAGCATTCGACTGACAGAGTGGAGCCTGCATCAGAATATTGTGAGGAATATTTTTCAGAGATTCGATCCTCCAAATATCGATCTGTTTGCGACTTGAGAGAACAAGAAGCTTCCCATTTCCAATGGGAGGAGCCTTTGCAACAGATGCACTGAGTGTAAGTTGGACAAGGATGTATGTATATGCCTTCCCTCCTCCAGTTCTGCTCCACCTAGTTCTACAAAAAGTAGCACAGGAACACTGCACTTTGATACTGATAGCACCATTTGCACCACGTCGGTCATGGTACCCATTACTCCTGGAACTTCTCATAGATTATCCAAGAGAATTACCAGTGGTGTCAAGAATGCTGACACAGAAAAGAGGTCAAGTGGTTCATCCAGATCCAGAAAATCTAAGACTAGTAGCTTGGAAAATATCCAGCATAAGCAAGCTGAGAGGAAATTTTCTCCAAGGGCTTAGAAATACATGGAAAAGAGCAGAAGATCATCAACCAAAAGAGTATATGATGCAAGACTGCGAGTTTACAAAAGCTGGTGTAGTGAACAATGTTTCAGTCCATATTCTTCCTCTGTAGAAGACATGGCAAATTTCCTGGTATATTTGCCTGAAGCAAAGGGATGCAGAGCTTCCATCCTTGCTGGTTATAGGGCAGCAATTGCTACAGTCCACAAGGGTTGGAGTAAGAGTACAGTCAGTTCTGAGAAAAGTTTGTCTGACTTGATAAATGGAATTTTCAATTCTAATCCTTCCATTTAGCCCTTGTTACCTAATTGGGACTTACCCTCTGTGTTATGGGCTATGACAAAACACCCTTTTGAACCCAGTGAATCTATTTATTTGAAATTTTTGACTTGGAAGACTGTATTTCTGGTGGCTTTGGCATCTGCAGCACGAGTAAGTGAAATACATGCCTTGTTTATCAAGGAATCAAATTGTAGGGAAGAAAGTACAGTAGTACTGGTATTAGACTTCTTCCTAATTTACAATTCTTAGCCAACACCCAACGTCTTGATAAGGCATGGAATCCAATTTTTATTCACAGTTTTGACAGATTGACAGATCAAATGATCTGTTACTTTGTCCATACAGATGTCTAAAGATGTACAGAAAGAGAACAAAGGATATAAGAGATCAGAATGATCCACTCTTTATTACATATCAAAAGAATTTACATAGGCCAACAGCTAAAGGCTCTATATCTAGATGGTTTGTTTCTCTTATGAAATAAGTGTATGAGAATTCAACAGAGCTAAACTTGGGAGAAGTTAGAGCACATGATAGTAGACGCTTGGCTTCGTCTTGGGCCTTGTTTAATGGATCCTCACTCAGAGAGATTTTACAAGCAGCGCACTGGGCGTCTGAGAATACATTTACCTCATTCTACTTGAAAGATGTGTCTTGGGGTGAAGAAAACTTTGCCAGGTCTTCCATTCTAAAGACAGTAAAGTGGGCAAAGAAGAAGAACCTTTAGGGTGAGTAGATTTTTATTTACTCTATTCCCCCTGCTTTGGCTACAAATTCTGTTAGCTGCTAAATATTCGACGCAGGTAAGTATAGATACTGAAATAAACTGAGGGTTTTTTAAGGTAAAACCTCTGTTTATAAGATATCTATACTTACCTGCATATTCCCTACCCACCTCCCCACTATAGGGTTTTAGGGGTTATTTTTTATTTCCCTCACATAAACTGAGATACCGGATGTCGGGTATTAGTGAGTGGGTTAAGGGAAGATGACTCGTTCTAAAAATAATTCGGGCATAGTAGTAGGTGTCCGTGACATATTGCTAAATGTTCAATGCTGGTAAGTATAGATATATAATAAACAGGGGTTTTACCTTAAAAACCCCTCAGATTCAAGTTTCTCCAAATCATGAACCCAGAGTGTGGCCACTATGGGCAGTCCAAGTTTTACATGGGTAAACATTGGAAAAATCTCTAAAGTCTTCTTCTCAGAAACAGCAAAGCCATGATAATCATATTTATATTGAAGCATCCATAGGTAATGTATATTTACGTTTATTCAAATCATGATCCCTAGGGGTAGGGAGTAGCCATAATGGACAATAAAAGTTTTACATTGGAAAACATGGGAAAAATCTTGATAATCATTTTTTTCAAGAACAGCAAAGCCATGAACAATCATATTTATATGGAAGCATCCACAATAGTGTAGATTCAAGTTTGCCACCGGGGGTAGGATGGGGTCACAATGGGCAATCAAATTTCTTGTGTAGAAAAACAAAGAAAATCTTGAAAAATATTTTTTTCAAGAAAAGCAAAGCCATGAGTCTTATTTATATGAAATCATCCACAGATAGTGTATATGTATACTTAGTTTTGTTCAAATTATGACCCCCGGGAGTAGGATAGAACGACGATGTGCAACCAAAGTTTTACATTGGGATACATAGGAAAAATCTTACAGGAAAAAGAATCTATTGATGAAGAATAAAAAGGGCCATAGTTACTCAGGTGAGCGTTGTGGACAATAGACCTCATGTTTTAATATAGGAAAAAGTTTTAAAGGTATAAAAAAAATTGGTTTATTAAAGGCTTATGATGTTTTTTAATCGATATTTTGGTTCATTGCAGGTAACAGTATACATTTATTGACTGGATTTGAAGACAACATACATTTTGTCGGACCAAGAACCAAGCTGTTTGCCTGAGGTTGTTAGGCCATAGCCAAATAGTTTGGTTCGAGTGATCGACAAAACGCATTTTGCCAGAGAACACAGTCAATAATGAAATATATGGAGATAACGAACAGTATTCAAGCTCAAAAGTCCATTAAACATTACAAAATAGGTGCAGAGCAAACACGGACCTCCAAAACATCAGAGGTGGGATCAGGTGCCATGAAATAAATGTTTTCTAATACCTTTTATTTTATTGACATACATGTATCTTGTGCTAGCTTCCATGAAGTAAATTTTTCTTAACCCGCACTGCGTTATAACAAGGTCAATTCTGTCACTTTTGAGATTTAGCTGATCCTGCCCACAGAATGAAGTAAGCGATCTAATATCTCTTCAATAGATCCAATATCTCGCTCTACGATTGAGCATCAATTTTTTATGTGACCGCTCACACAAACATTGGAAATGTTAAATTTTTAAAGTTAAGATTTATACAGGAATCAATTTTTAAAGGAATAACAAAATGAGGTATTACAGGCCTATGATATTTTGTTAAGCGATGTTTTAGTTTATTGCAGGTCGAAAGTATTCAGTTAAATGATGTATTTATTTGTTACTATATTTTGTTTTATGCTTTATGGATTTTTTTTTAAAAGTTTTCCGTTTTTCCTAATATTTAGTCTATAGTATTTTGTTTTATGATATCATGGATGCTTTACGAATCTTTTTTTTAATATTTTTTTTTAAAGGTTTATGATATGTTTTATTCTGGATGTATAACAGGCTTTTGTTTTATTTATATATTGGTTTATAACAGGTCGATGATATTTTGTCAAATGATGTACCGATTTCCTATTTTGCTGGATGCCTCAGCTGCTGCACTTCAGAGGAAGGGCGACAAATTTCTAGCTAAATGGGCAGATATCATGACAGGTAAAGTGAAATTTTGAATATTCTCTCTCCTGTGTTTGTTTTCACGACATCCTAGGCATTGCTAACAAATTGTGGGTGTGGGATATGGAAAGGACTATATGCCGTAATGACCAATATCTGCCCCTTTTATTAAACTTTGATGTAGAAATCTGTAAGTTCTAAACCAGGGGGGTATCAGCAGACTTGAAAGCATTACCTATTCGCATTAGCCTTGACATCATATGTTTGATATGATGTCAAGAAGATGAGTAAAGCAAAATTTCATTGATTTTGAGAGTGAAAAGTGTATTTTACGTCGATATTTTGATTATAAGACATCCAGCTCAGGTCTGCCCAAGCTCGAAGATTATAAAATATATTTTCCTCATACTTTAGTAACTGTATACAAAAATTATAAAATTATATTTTGTATATTGAAGTATTACAAGTAAAAACTTGTAAAAACAAGTAAAAAGTTATTATTTTGATTTCTTCTAATTTGAATGCACAGGAATCTGGAATAAAAGAAGTAAATTTGATTTCTCATGACAAACTTTGAAAATAATGATGTAATTTTATACCAATTTAACATTCATGTATGTAAAATAATGAAAATAAGCATTGCATTCATTGCATAGAAAATTATCTTTGAAAAAAATATGTTTCTTTAAAAGTTATTTTACATATCCTTTTATTTTGCAGGTCGAGTCCCCAAAATATACATGCTGAAACCTGAGTTTTCCTTAACCATAGGATATGAACTAATCAGACTTCTAATAGCAAGATATAGTGCCTCGACAAAAAATCAAAATAAAACTCAATGACATATTATTGGGTATAAGAAAAAAAAAGTTTTAATATGAATATTTTCTTGATTACTAAAACACCTTTGTAAGTAAAGTTTATTTGTTTTGTGATTGGAGAGGGTGCAAATTATCCACCCGTCTTTCTCTCTGTCCAGCTGATACGAGCAGTCCAGCTGACACGAGCAGCAAGGAAACATAATGACAAAAGATATAACCGTACAAGCTTTTGCTATAAATTTCCATAGGAAGATAGTCTGTCTGTAGATATTTTTGTTATACCTTTAATTATTATACCCTAGGGAAATCTATACGTAAAAAGTCTAACATCTCCAATGTTTTACTGAGCATTCAAAAAAAAAGTCGATTGACCGATAGGTGAAATATTTGGCCTGTCGATGAGATATAGGACCGCTATTACATTCTTTACATCACTCTGTAGGCGGGATCAGAACTTTTATCTTATTAGGTCTTTCCACCTTTCTGTGGAAAGACCTATTGATATTCTTCTGTTTATTATTAGGTCTTTCCACCTTTCTGTGGAAAGACCTATTGGTTTTCTTCTGTTTCTTATTATTCTTCTTCTTATTTTTCCGCCGCAAGATTTTGAGTTTCAAGATCTATCGAAAAGATTTATAGTTCATAAGAATGTACTCCACAAAAGATTTTTGCAGTTGACCCTGCGTATATGAACTTTGACCCCTCAAAGAGTTACATTCCCTTTCGCAATAAAAGCTTGTTATCGCTACTCCTTTGAAACCGTAAACCGTAGAGATACGAAACCTTCACCAATGTCCTCGACTAATTTAGGGGACTCTTCAATCTATTCATTGCGAAAGTATTCGTCGACCCCTTCAAGGAGTTATTGCCCCTCCAAGTTTTTGATTTTTAGAAATAATTTAAAATTTTTAAAACGATAAGTGGTAGAGACATGGGACCAACTGCATAAGATTCATTGACCTTTGACCTTAAAATATATGCAAAGGTCAAGGTCATTCAAAATATGAGAAATTAACCTCTTTTTATATCTCTTTTGTCTTTCAACATATACTAAATATCTTTGCATCATTAATGTGTCCTCTTAAAACTATTTCAAAGATTTCATACTTGTCCCCTAAGATTTACCCCTTTAAAAGTTATTGCCCCTTTTACTGAAAACCTTGTTATCACTACTCCTCCGAAACCGTAAACCGTAGAGACACAAAACCTTCACTAATGTCTTCAGGGTCTTTTGACACAACTTCAATCTATTCAGTGAAAAGTATCCGATGACCCCTTATATGAGTTATCACCCCTTAACGTCTTTGTGATAACTATTAAACCTTATAACTTTAAAACTAAAAGTCGTAGAAGCATGGGGTCAAGTGCAGTGTGACCCTTTACCTATGACCTTGAATATTTGTTCAAGGTCAAAGGTCAAGGTCATTTCAAAATTTTAAAATTTTCATTTTTTCTATCTTTCAAGCCATTTATGGATTCTTATTGTATAAAAATTAAGTTTAGAGAGTAAAATATGAAAAATGTATGAAATTTAAAGAAGGTGGAAAGACCTCTAATTGTTCGAGAACAATTAGTCTACTAGTTATTATTATTATTATTATTATTTTTCCACCCCCTGATGTGATTCTATGTTTCAAGATCTATCGAAAAGATTTATAGTCTATAAGAATGTACTCTTTAAAAGATTTTTACAGTTGACCCTGCGTATATGAACTTTGACCCCTCCAAGAGTAATTACCCCTTTGGCAATAAAAGCTTGTTATCGCTACTCCTTCGAAACCGTAAACCGTAGAGGTACGGAACCTTCACCAATGTCTTCGACTAATTGAGGGGACTCTTCAATCTATTCATTGCGAAAGTATTCGTGGACCCCTTTTATGAGTTATTGCCCTTGAAACTTTTTGAAGTTTACAAATAATAAAATTTTTTCAAAACGATAAGTTGTAGAGACATGGGACCAACTGCATAAGATTCTTTGACCTCAGACCTTGAAATTTATGTCAAGGTCAAAGGTCAAGGTCATTCAAAATATGAGAAATTAAGCTCTTTTTATATCTCTTTTGTCTTTCAACGTATACTAAATATCTTTGCATCATTAACATGTCCTCTTAAAACTATTTTAAAGATTTCATTCTTGTCCCCTAAGATTTACCCCTTTAAAAGTTATTGCCCCTTTTACTGAAAACCTTGTTATCGCTACTCCTCTGGAACCATAAACCGTAGAGAGACAAAACCTTCACTACTGTCTTCAGGGTCTTTAGACACAATTTCAATCTATACAGTGCGAAAGTATCCGATGACCCCTTATATGAGTTATCGCCCTTTAATGTCTTTGTGCTTACTATTAAACCTTATAACTTTAAAACTAAAAGTCGTAGAAGCATGGGGTTAAGTGCAAAGTGACCCTTGACCTTTGACCTTGAATATTTATTCAAGGTCAAAGGTCAAGGTCATTTCAAAAATTTTAAAATTTTCATTTTTTTCCAACTCTCAAGCCATTTCTGGATTCTCTTTGTATGAAAATTATCTTTAGAGAGTAAAATATGAAAAATATATGAAATTTAAAGAAGGTGGAAAGACCTCTAATTGTTCAAGAACAATTAGTCTCCTAGTTATTATTATTATTATTATTATTTTTCCACCCCCAGATGTGATTCTATGTTTCAAGATATATCGAAAAGATTTATAGTCTATAAGAATGTACTCTTTAAAAGATTTTTGTAGTTGACCCTGCGTGTATGAACTTTGACCTCTTAAGGAGTTACAACCCCTTTCGCAATAAAACCTTGTTATCGCTACTCCTTCGAAACGGTAAACCATAGAGGTATGGAACCTTCACCAATGTCTTCGACTAATTGAGGGGACTCTTCAATCTTTTCATTGCGAAAGTATTCGTGCACCCCTTTTATGAGTTATTGCCCCTGAAAGTCTTTGATATTTATGAATAATGAAAAATTTTCAAAACGATAAGTCGTAGAGACATGGGACCAACTGCATAAGATTCATTGACCTTTGACCTAAAAATATATGTAAAGGTCAAAGGTCAAGGTCATTCCAAAAATGAGAAATTAAGCTCTTTTTACAGCTCTTTTGTCTTTCAATATATACTATTGGTCTTTGCATCATTAATATGTACTCTTAAATCTATCTCAAAGATTTCATTCTTGTCCCCTAAGCTTAACCCCTTTGAAAGTTATTGCCCCTTGTGCGAAAAACCTTGTTATCGCTACTTTTCCTAAACCGTAAATCGCAGAGACATGAAACCATCACTAATGTCTTCTGGGTCTTTAGTCACAACTTCAGTATATTAGTGCAAAAGGATCTGCTGACCCCTTATGAGTTATTGCCCTTTAACGTCTTTGCGCTTACTATTAAACCTTATTACTTTAAAACTAAAAGTCGTAGAAGGATGGGGTTAAGTGCAATGTGACCCTTGACCTTTGACCTTGAATATTTGTTCAAGGTCAAAGGTCAAGGTCATTTCCAAATTTCTAAAATTTTAATAATTTCCATCTCTCAAGCCATCTCTGGTTTCTCCTGTATAAAAATAAACAGTAGAGAGTTAAATGTGAAGAATATATGAAATTTAAAGAAGGTGGAAAGACCTCTAATTGTTCGAGAACAATTAGTCTCCTAGTTTGTAATTATTGTTGTTTGACAGTTACGGAATTGTCTGAGTTAAATCTGCAATGCGGATAAAAGAAATTTACAGGGACTATATATTGTAAAATCTTCCTGAGTGTTGAAAAATCGACGTGCGACCGCTAGGTGAGGTAATGAACCTGTCGATGAGATACTGGACCGCTATTACGTTTTTTCAACAATGTAGCCGGGATCAGAGCTTAAATCTTATTAGCATCGTGGTTTAATCGGTAAGATATTTTTAAATACATCAAAATTGAAGAAATGGAATATACTGCATTAAAAGGAGAAAGGGGGAACTGGCCTTTCAATTAACATTTTCATACATAATTAACGATAAGTATAACGTTCGGAAAAAGTAGCCCCCTTCCACCCTTATGCTACGTGTCTCTTAATCTAATGAAGTTAACCATTTCACGGCTTAGTTTTAGGGAAGTGCTCGTTTGCAGGTCAAAATATAATGCATTTTCATAGATAGATCTTGAAGATATCAAACAGACATTTACTGAAACAGCCTTAGGAAACCTTAAACAAGCAAAGATGTACAATTCTGTATCTAAAACAGCACATTTTGTATAAGGAGGGATAAATGATTTTTCCCTCTTTAAAGAGACATTGTGACGGAAAAACGGGAAAATTGACAAAAGTAGAATTTTTGCAAGACACATGCAAATTTTATTCAATTCTTGAAAGTATTAGGTTTCAGAAAATTACAGGTTTCAGAACCTAAAAAATCTACTTTTATGGAGAAAAATATAAGTAAAAATAATTTTAGTTTGCCCCAACACGAAAAAATTGCCTCACTTCTTCCTCTTTAAGGTACGCATGCTCAGAAAAGTTGAAGAAGTTACCATGGTGTCAATTCCGCAGATATAAATGGCGGATGACCGAGGATTTTGATTTAATCTTCAAAAAAGATGATCAGAACTTATTTCTTACTTTTGATTGCTCTAATACAATGTTGTTTACAAGTTTCACGCTAAAAATAAAAGACACATGACCTTGACATTGTTGAATTAACGATAACCACCACGCCATAGATACAACTTTTCTTGCTTTAACCGTGCAGTTGAGATCTCAAAACTTCGCCTTATTCATATTTCTCATAAATCTTTAGCTGTATGATACAATGATCTTAAAAGAAACACATGATATTGACTCACTATGTAACTTTAATGAAATATATGGAGATAACGAACAGTATTCAAACTCAAAAGTCCATTAAACAATACAAAATAGGAGCAGAGCAAACACGGACCTCCAAACATTAGAGGTGGGATCAGGTGCCATGGAGGAGTGAGCATCCCCTGCCGACCGGTCACACCCGCCGTGTGCTCTTGTCATGATCGGGAAATAACGGAAAAATCCGTCGACAATTCAGTGTGTAAATAATGGCCTAACAATTAGTATGTCAAACGTCAGTCAGCATTTGACTCAATGGTAAATTGTATTTGCTGACAAGGTCATTGTATCGACCATAATAATTTAAAATCAGTTCATTATGTGGTATAAGATTATTTTGCAAAAATAGCTACAAGACATATGTAACAATACTTAAGGTTGAAAATCACTCTTATACAATGTTGCTTTAATGCTTATGATTTCCCAAAAGAAAAGTATATTATAAGTAAATTGCGAACAGTTTTAGCATTGCTTGAAAGGCAAAATTCGACAAAAGACATTTTTTATTTGACAAATTTGTAAGGGAATGATATGCATTTATAAGATTTAGGGTTATCTCTTATCAGAATATCAATGAACCTTAAGCAGAATAATATAAGCTGTGATGATGCATTTTTTGTCAAAAAGTTCCAAAGATAATGTCAATGGTATCGATAAAAAAATCAAGTTAGCTTTGACCATACATCTGTCA